AACTCATTTATTTTATCTAGTTGAATTGTGTTAGTTAACTGAATTAAAATTTACGATTCAATTAAAAAAAATCTAAAAATCTGTAAGTTTATGGATGAGAAAAATATGATTAAAGTTTAACAAATCCATAGAAACCCCTATAAAATATATATATATATATATATATATATATAATTTAGATTAAATATATACGTCGGAAAAAAGATATATATATATATATATATATATATATATATATATATTTGTAAAATAGGATGACATGTTGATCCTAATTTCGTAGAAGCAAAGTTTTTATTTTTTTGAAAAGAGGAAAAGCAAAAAGTTTGATTATAGTGGATTGGAGAAAAATAAACTAATAAAGGAATGAACATATGATGAAGGAATTTACAGGAAAAAGTAATTTGGAATTTTTTAATTAGCATTTTTCCATCGCTGCATCAGTGAAGTGACGTCGTTGTGACGATGTCGCTTGGTTTGAATTTTGAAAGCGGACCGGTCCGGTTCTGGAATCTCCTATTTTTTTCCCCTTAAGAAAATGGTTTTCTTCCCCCACCAAACAACTTGGAACGTAAATGTAGATTTTCAAAACTTGAAAAATCTATTCCAAATGCTTGACTTCTAATCTTTTATTTTTAATTTTATAAAATATACATACGTTCATACGCGTGTGTGAGAGATTATTTTCCCACTATTTGTGTGCTTCCATCTATACACTTATTTGTATTTTTTAACGATTTTCTATTTTAGGAATCTTAAGAAAATATGACTAGATGTATGTTATGGTTGTCGATCACATGGCAAGATTTTAAGTGTCTATTATCTAAATAATTCGTTTGGTAACGTTTTCGTTTTTCTTTTATTTTATTTAGAAATTTAAGTATTTGACAATTATCTATGTTTCTTATTGCTCAAATTTTTAGAAATATTCTAATAAATTTTGGAAATAACGAAAATAAGTTTTTTGTTTCTTATTTTTTTTTTTAATATAACATGTGGGGGTGGGAGATCAAACTCACAACCTCTTGGTTGGAGATATATGTCAATTAGCTGAACTATGCTCGCTTCTGGCTGTTTCTTGTTTCTATTTCCAATTTGTTCTAAAACCTAACGAAAGTATTGTTTTGTCATTCTTCAATTTGTGGGTGTTGAGAGTCATGCAATTTTATTTTCTTTATTAAAAAATAGAAAACAGAAATAAGAAACGAAAATATTATCAAACGGATCTTTAATAATCTATTTTCCTTTATTATTGAGATAAAAAAACATTTGGTATGGTTAATTGTAGGCAAAGAATTGAAGACTTATCTCTCTTGGTCAACACATTGAGTGTGTTTTGATGTTGAAAAAAGGAACACCAATAAAAAAAAATTCTCCTAATTTCCACAACCTAAACTTTCTTTGTTTATGAGGAATATATGATCAAACTTTTGGTTTCCAATGAATATGATTAACTTTCATAATGGATGCACTTGGAACAATATTTAGTGGTGTGGGTAACATCTTCTGTTGGAGAATTACTTATATAAGTCTTTTATCCAAGTTAGGTTTCTTGATGCATAATTTAGATTCAAATTTTGATGTCAAATGCTTCAACAAATTCATGCACATATTCGAGATCTTCGAACTGGTGTGGTACTAAGCCTAACATACTCCAAAATACTTAAGTTAGACAAAGGGTTCAATTGAGAGTAGTAAAGAGTAGGGTCATAAAAATATACCTCATTCTCCAAGCCTCTTTTCTTATTTATAAAGTAAGTCTTCTCGAGTTGGTTGGAGTAGATCGACTTGACCGAGTTGGTCGGATTGGATGGTCTAACCCGTACGGTTCGACTTTGCTTCTTTGGCCTCGCTTCAAATGAACTTAGTATATTTTACCCCTAACAAATTAATTGATGGTGAAAATATATAGTAGAGTTTAAATTCTCACAAATACTGTATCAAATAACAAGTTTGTTTTTTCGGTTGGGATTGTTAATATAAGTATTGTTGTTTCTAGGTTATTAGTAAAATTTACGATACTTTTCAACGACAATATCATGGATTCGAATTTCCACCCCACACGTTATACTAATAAAGAAAATTTTTCATAATTTTCCTGCCAAACTATTTTTGTATTCTCCTTGTTAGTCTAACTTGTGGGTAGTCAATATTGGTGAGCTCTTTCTAATTGATTTATCTAATTCCAATTGAGTTTTAACACTTTAGTTTATCAATTTTGAGGAGTTGTAATTGCATCAAATAGAATTTTAAAAAATTATGTTATATATTTTTTATTTAATCTATCCGTTTCTTGTCAATATAAAGATATATCCACTTAGTTTCATCTCGCTCATGGGTAGACCACTCATATTCGAGTCAAGCAATGACGATTACTCCACCAAGACTCACTTTCATTTTCATTATAACTCTAGTGTGAGTTTGCCTAAAGTCACCATTCTTATTTTCCAATATGCACATAATCAAAGTCCTAGTCTCTACTAATTAACTCCCATCTAATTAAGTAGGTCAATGAAGTTGATCTTTATAAGCAAGATGTATAACGTTGGGATAATATGAATATATACGAAATACCATAGAAAATTAAGAATATAAACAAAGAAAAAGTTTTTTCATATTTTTTTGACCCTACACAATTAAATGATTTTTTTTACAAGTTTGATGTTGATAAATGTACAAATCTAGAAATTTATTCTAAAAAATTTAATTCTTCCTTTAGTCTTTTCTTAGTACAACATGTGGGAGTGGAAGATCGAACTTACGTCAATTACCGCTGACTATACTCGCTTTGGCCTCCCTTTGATCGACTCCTTAGAAAATTCAAATTAATATTGGGTTGAATAATATTTTAACTTGGTATCACAATCCTTTAAAAAAAATTACAGTCTAATATAACATAAATACCGGTCCAAAAAAGTAATCAAAACATGACAAAGTATCCAAAGCATGTAATCAATTATTACTCCCAATTTATTACGATTTAAGTCAATTTACGTTAATACAAAAATGACAGTTACTGAGTCAATAAACCAATCATAGAATTTTTAAAAAGAATTATATTTAATAAAAAAAATACGAATTTATACCATCCACTAAAATTTGCGCATAAAACTTGCGTGCTGCGTAACCCTATGTCTATATCCAAACTTTGAAATTTTCGACATATGAAAAAAACGCTACCCATTAATTTATGCATACTCTAATTGTTGCCGTTAATTGTCTCTGTATTAAATTTTAAATTCTTCATTTAAAAAAACAAAAAAAAGTCATGAAACCAGAGGCCAAGGAGTCAAGATCAACAAATATGACAAAAATGAAAAATTTAATAATAATAAAATAATAAACAAACAAACAAACTCTAGCATATCAAGAAATAGCCTTGATTCTTTTTTTATTAAAAAAATTCTATCATATATTTAACCCATAAATTTACGTAGACCCTATTTACTTATCACGAATGAATTTGAATAAAATCAATTGGAATTGAAATGTTATTCTTAATGTTGTTTACCATAAATTTTCTAGAATCATAATCAGAATTTTTTGATGTTGTTTACTAAAACGGTATAGAATCGGAATTGGAATAAAATATATAACAATGTATACTCATTTCTTTCTTCTAGTCATGCTAATCTTTTTTTAATTACAATAATAATAAATTTTAATATATTTTATTACATAGTAAATATAAATAACGATTTATTTAATTTAATAATAATGAATAATTAAAATAAACTTATATAAACTAAAATAATTTTTTATTATAACAACTATCATTTAATATAAAATATTATTAAATTTTATTATTCTAATATTTAATAACAATAAATTTTATTTTAAAAATATATTGATATTAATTAATAATAACAAAGTAAAAAAATTAAAAATTAAATATAAATTTATAATATTTTATAATAAAATTATACCCACTTGAATAAATTTTTATTAGAAGAAAAAAATATTAGTAATAGAAATAAAAAAGAAATAATTTATAAAATAATTAATTAAAAAATAAGAGAGAAAGAGTAAAAGTAGTAAAGTAACTCTAATAAATATGTGTGACATATGAAATAAGCAATGGGAATGAGATTGATGAACGTGAATGAGATGAATGAGATTGTCGAGAATAATTCCAAAATTTGAAGTGGGTCTCACAATTTGATTCCAAAAATTGATTGTCATTCTTTATTCTCATCTCTTGAAGTAAACATGACTTTAATTTCAAATAATTACTATCTAAAATTCATCGAGTTAATCAACAAGGTTGTCATCCAAAAAGTTGATATTTCTATTTTCATCCTGTAATTATTGAATTAAAAATAAGGCTCAATCATTCAATAGTTTAAATATAAGATGACACAAATTGATATTCTTTTAACATTTTATAACTACAATATGAAATGCAGTTGAACTATGTTTATGTTGGTTGATATTTAAAAGTTTCGTTAATTCAAATTTGTTGACGAGTCCTATTAAATTTATAAATCTTTTAATCCCCAACTCTAAGGAAAAAAAAAAGGTGTTTTTTCCAATATTCTACCATGAAGAAACATTTCAAAACCTTTATAAAAGAAAAATAATAGTAATAAACATTTTAAAACGATGTTTTAATGCGCCAATTGATAGTAGGATAATAATACTAATTTAGTCAATCTATCTTAAACTTCAACTCATTGGTGTGTATTTTCAACTTTAGTTAATTTTAATCGTGTATATTCAAATCGTCTTATTTTGATCCCTATACTTTAAAGAAGATTTTGATTTGGTCAAAATATATATCATCAACAAATAAGTTGGGATTCAAACTTCTATCCCTATATATATTATTCAACCCTAACCACTTATTATAAAAATTAATTCCTATGTGTTTCTCAGTACTAAATGGTGTAGAGTTTACGTAAAATTAGTCAAAGTGAGGGTAAACTGACCCAAATATTCAATATAATTTTTTTAAGAAAAATCAGATTGAAAACGGATAATGAAAAACAAACATGATGTTGAGTCGGTCAAGGATTCTTTCGGTCTAAGAATGCTACTAGTTGAATCACCCCCATCTCCACTTTCAAACTCTCCCTCTATAAATTGCCTGCAACATTTCTCACAGCCATACCCATCTCTCTCTCTCTCTCTTCTTTCTCTCTCCTCCATTTTTCCCAATTTGAGTCTCAGTATTCCAATATGATCCTCTCACAGCCTCCAAAGAGCAACACTTCCACCACACTAATGCACTTGAAACAGTTCTTCACCTTCTCCCACTCTTCTCCCTCCAAAACCCTCCACTCATCTTCTTCTTTTCCCAGCTCCGGCCACCGGACTCCGCCGTCCACCTATGACCCTTCCCTGTCCGCCGCCATGGAAGAAACCATCGTTAACGCCGAACCCATCATCACCAAATGGGACCCCGATTCCTCCGAGTTCAACAGAGTCACCTTCCTCTTCCGCCATGGCAGGGCCGAGTCCGACGAGTTTCTCACCTCCGTCAACAACCTCCGCCGGGCGATGGACTTTTTCATTTCCGAAAATTCTACCTCCGCCGTCCTTATTCTCGCCCAGAAATTGATGCAGGCCGCCATGAGACGCCTCGAGAAGGAGTTTTATTATATTCTGAGTGAGAATCGGCAGCATCTGGACCCGGAATCCGTCTCCAGCCGGTCCTCCGACGGGGAGATCGCCGGGGATTCTGCGACGGAGCTCGACAGGGTCGCGGCGGAGTTGAGATCGATTGCGGATTGTATGATCGGCTCTGGGTATGGGAAAGAGTGTGTGAAGATTTACAAAGTGATCAGAAAATCGATTGTCGATGAAACTCTATACCGTCTTGGAACAGAGCGGTTCAAGGCTTCGCGGATTCAGAGATTGAATTGGGAATCGCTCGAGACCGTGATCAGGAGCTGGATGAATTCCATAAAGGTTGCTGTGAATACTCTGTTTCGTGGGGAGAAAATTCTCTGCGATCATGTTTTTTCAAAATCCGGCAGAATTGGAAAGTCCTGTTTCTGGGAGATCTTAAAAGAAGGGGCGATCACTCTGTTTAAATTCCCGGAGTTGATCGCGAAAGGGAAGAAAGATTCAGAGAAGATTTTCTTGTTGATGGAGCTTTACGAGGCGAATTCCGACGTCTTGCCGGAAATCGAGGTCGTATTCGACTCTGTTTCGACGGAAACCATTAAAGCGCAAGCGGAAGCTTCGTTGGTCAAACTCGCGGAGGCAATCCGCGCCATTCTCTCCGATTTCGAATCGACGATCCAGAAGAATTCCTCCAAAACTCCGGCTCCCGGCGGCGGAATCCACCCGCTGACCCGATCGGCGATGAATTACATCTCCTCTCTCGGAGACTACGGCGGGATTCTCTCCGACATCATCACCGAAAACTCTCCGATTCCGAGTTCGTACACGGAGACTCTCGCCGCCGACGACGCGCTGTCGTCGCCGGTGGCGGCGCAACTCGGGTGGCTGATTCTGGTCCTCCTCTGCAAACTCGACACGAAAGCAGAGCTTTACAGAGACGTATCGCTGTCGTACCTGTTCCTCGCGAACAACCTGAATTTCATCGTGAGGACGGTGACGGCGACGAATCTGAAATCCCTCGTCGGCGGCGAGTGGGTGGCGAACCACGCGAGCAAGGTGAAGCTGTACGCGTCGAATTACGAGGCGACGGCGTGGAACAGGGTGGTGGGGACGCTGCCGGAGAGGAGCTCGCCGGAAATGGAGTCGCCGGAGGCGGCGAAGGAGGGGTTGAGGAAATTCAACGCGGCGTTCGAAGAGGCGTACCGGAAACAGACGTCGTGGAGAGTGGAGGAGGGGCGGCTGAGGGACGAGTTGAAGATGTCGATAGCGAAGAAGCTGCTGCCGACATATCGGCAGTTCTACGAGGGGTGCATTGAGATAGTGGGTGGGGAGAGAGATTTTTCGACGAAAGGGTTTGCTGTCAGGTTTACGCCTGACGATTTGGGAAACTACTTGTCGGATTTGTTCCATGGGGTTTCTTCTTCTGGCAGTAGTTCTTCCATTGGAAGTGTATAAAAAAAAGATAAATTTATTTTGAGGAAATAAATATTTTGACGCGTGGATTTATGTAATACGTCCACGTTGGAAAACTGTATAAATTCAGACTTTCTGAGTTGGATATATATTGGGTTTGATTTGTTGTTTATAGATTAAAGGAATTTGAAATGGTTTTTTTGCTTTAATTATTTTTTAGGTTAAAATACGAGTTTGAATATTGTGGGTCGTGTCTATTTAGTTTTCATTCTTAAATTTTAATAGGTGATTCAATTTTCAGTTTTAACTTTCTTAGTTTAATGCTAAATACTTGAGCTTGCTCGAAAAATAGTTAGCTATGTACTTCTTATATAATACCGTCACTTTGATACATAATTATGAAAATGATAGATTTAATATTATAGATCAAATTGATAGTAAAATTGAAAGTTCAGAGATTTATTATAAAATTTTAAATACAAGGAATATGTGGAAATAATTTTGAGAGTTTTGGAGCCAAACATGCAATTTAACTTAATTGAGGTTTGCTAATTTTGAATTGAATTATTAGTGCAATTTAAGAAGATTATTAAATTACATATACGTTGATTTAATGATTTTCTCAATTGGAGATATATGTTAATTACCACTGAGCTAGGCTCATTTTAAGAATTATAAATCTTCATTTTCTAAACATGGTAATTAGAAAAGGAAAGAGACTTCCCAACTTTCTTATTCCCCCGCAAAGAAGAGCTCTCATGGACAAGACATTGACATTGTCTAAAAATTAATTTATACCTTAAATTATATGGGTTGAATGAATTAAAACTCTAAATTAATAATTGTATCCATTAATACCATAATATTTCATAAGTGAATCAATTTACACTATTTATTAATTTATGGTTTTTATTGATGTCATTTTTTAATGTATAAATTAATTTTTACCCTTTTCTTTTGTACTGTTCTGTTTTGGAAATCTTTTTGGCATCAGATTACAAAGAAGAAAGGTCCATGCTGAAATTGCAATTTTCCCTTTTCTTTTTCTACCACACCCCATGGTATACTTTTGAGCTTAATGGGCCTGAACTAGTTTTTGGGCTTTGAGCTTGATTATTGGATTGGGTTAAATTTGTTTAATTGAATTATGAATTCTAACTGATTCAATTTTTTAAAGATTTCACTAGTTACGTTTGAAGTTAATTTTTTTTTTCTTTATGCAGAAGACTATGGTTGTTTCCCACAATATCTTAATAATTTACATATTTGGTATCATTCATCTATTAATGGGTGATAATATATATCTTTCTAAGTTAAATTATTCAAATATACATTTTAAAGTTTAAAAACTAAAATAAAATAAACCTATCATAGAAAACAAGTTTTCCTAACAACATTAATCTTAACTTACAAATCCCAACTAAAAAAAAGAAGAAAAAACGTTTTTGTATATATATTTATATATTTAGTTCAATGTCTTTATCTACTTAGCTATGCTCGAATGCTCGAATTGACTGTATATTAATAAAGTCAATTTCGTATATTTTAAACTAACATTTTTTAAAAGACTAAACTAACTTGATTTGTATAGTTCAATTTTTCTCTTTCTTTTATTTTTTTTTTTTGTAAATTTGGAGTATAAATTCAACTAGTTAATGCATCAGCTAAAGATAAAATATTTGAAGCTAAGATAAAATATTTGAATCTCTACCTTCCCGTCTTTCCTCCCTCAATTGAATTAAATGAAAAAAAAAGTTTCAAACTTGTTTTGAATAATATTCAATCAAACATTTCATATTATAATCTAACCTTGTCTTCAAGTAATTCAATGTACTGATGGAATTTTCTAAATCATTGAATTTTACAGATCATCCCATTTTTCAAATCATTAAATTCTTTTAGTCAAATTTAAAATTTAATGATATGACTAAAGCAAAAGAAAGTATTTTTCAGCTCCATTTGGAAATGAAGCATTCAACTTTATAAAAGTACATGTTTCTTAACTACATAAATGTGACCGACCCTTTGATCTGTATGTCCCTATACATGTGGTATGCGCATTGTCCCCATACTCATACATACTTAAAAGTCATTACTTGGTGGGAGTTGCGTCCCATGTGGCTTTAACCTAAGACCTCAAAGTTATTCTTTGAAACCTCAAGCCACCCAAGCTATTCCTTTGGGACTCAAACGAACACTGGGTATCTATTTAGTTCATGAAGTTGTAAAATAGAGGTCCCTAAATTCAGTTATTGAAACATTTTTTTTCCAAAATTTTTGGGTAAATATTCATAACTTCTCTCATTTAAATCTAATATTTAACAATTTAAACATAAATTAAAAAAAATATATGGCTTAAATTTATTGAGAAATTGACGTAATATATATATATTTTCGAAGTGTACAATATAAAATCAAAATCAATAAATCCGAATTCGTAGCCAACCTTGATCTAAAAGTTTTGAATTTGCTTAATTTCGTAATCAACTTCCGTCATTTGTTTTACAGATTTATTTTTTTAATTTTATTTTAAATCCAGAGAGATGTTGAAGTTTTTGTTAGGAAGATGCTAAAAAATGAAAAAGGTGAGAATTGAAATTTTTGTTAGGGGAGAGAAGTTAATAATAAAATAAAAACGGTGAGAATCAATTAGGGTAAAAAAATAATTCCAAACTATAATTTAGTCAATGACCAGAATAAACAGTTTGGGAAAAATATCCCAACTTCTCCCATGAAAAAGGCAAAAAAAAAAAAAAAAATTACAATTTTTCTGAAATGTGCTAAGGTTTAAAAGAAAGAGGAAATTTTGTTAAGAAAAAAAAAGGGTTTAATTTATGTTTTAATTGACATAGTTTTAAACTTTTCTTTATCTGAGTTATATTACTTTCAAAATGTTGATTATGATTAATTAATTCTAAAAGACAGACTATTTTTTTTGGTTACTTTATCCAAAATTTACACAAAAATTATATACTGCTCCTTCCCAAGGATATAATTGTCATCTCTTATATGTTCATGATCCTTCCTTTCCTAACCAATGTGGAATTTGTTTGCAACATAATTCATTAAAAATGTTTTATTCTTTCTTAGTAAGAGGTTCAAATATGTATCTCATTACTTATACTAAAAACAATAAAAAAATACAGAGTTAAATGGCAATAAATGTGTTGTTTACTGGATTGATAAAATCATATATTTTTTAAATATTTTAAAGATATTAGGACGATTAAATTTACAAAATAGATAAAATCAGAAACTACGGAACCAAATTGAACATTTGCCGTTTAGCTAGTTAAAGCATGTTTTAGTCGAATTCTGATTGCTAGAAGGATTATGGAGAGATGAATTGAGATGAGACTTAAAACTAAGGTGAACACTCCGAAACTTAAGTTAGTCTTAAGTCGATCTATTTGGCGTAAATTTGCAATTAGATTCCTACGTACATGAAGGTAGAATAAGTTCTAGTATTTACAGGTGTCGTGTAGTTGAGACAGTTGATCGGTCGCAAAGCACGTTTTGTAACGTGCGGCGCAAAATTGAGAGTAATGAATGGGCAATCGAAGGACAATTTTCATTAGTTCGACTGTTCACAATCTTTGATTTGCCAATAATTCATCTTTTAGACTCTTAAGATCGAGTTAATAATTGAAATTTGTATTCCAAAATCTTTTATGCTCTGTTTAGTACCTCGGATTTTGAAGGAATTCAAAATCATGACAGATTTCAAATGAATTCCACATATGATTTTGAATAAAGATTTCAAATCATATTTTTAAGTAAAAAATTTTCCAGATCAAAATGGTGGATCTTGCCGGATTTGATAGACTTTCAAAGTAAATTACATATTTAACCTCGTCATATTTTAATTTTTAATTAATAGATTTAGAATAAAAGCCTAAATCAATAAAATTTCTATTTTTTTTCATTTTCAGTGAATATCCAAACAAAGAAATCTAATTTAATTCGTTTCAAATCATTTCAAACGAGGGAAAGAATTTAAAATCATTTTTCGGAGTTAAAACCACGAAATTTAAAATCATTTCATCTACCAAATAGAGGATTATGGTAAGATTACCCGTGACAGATCTCCGAGACACCTCGTGGGTTTGAATCTTCATTTGTTGTCCTAACAAAAAAAGAAAAAGAGGGAGGAAAAAAATGCACGCTCGGCGAGAGTCCGCTAAAATCCGTCACCTCTGCCATAGACTTGCTTCCTCCTTCGGCAGCTCACCGGAGGCACAGGCATCGCCGTCGGACTGCGACGGCGCTGACCCACGCGCCACCGTTTCAAAGCTTCGGCCGCCGCTTGCCACATCTCAAAAGTTCAGAAACACACCCGTCGCCACGACAGAGCGAGAGCCTTCAATTCTGCCGTCGTTTTCCTTCGATCTCATCATCATCGTCTCTCCCCAACCACCAAGGGTCCCACCCCATCTCGCGGAGTCTTCCTGTTTCTGAAACCCTATACGTACGAGCCGCCACCTGGCCCTCTAATTCCGCGCCGTTTCAGATGCTGCCACCGCGAGGATCCGTTCTCCTTATCGGCGCAATCGTAGAACACGATAGCCATACCGCACAGTCGCTTCACGAAGAGACGAAATTGATAATGACTGTAAACTTTTCGAATGTCTTGAATGCATTCGTCAATGGATGTTTCAGACGGAATTTCTATCTAATTAGAGATTTCCCTAACGCTAATCCATGCGGTTTGAGTGGAGCAATGGTGAGAAAACTGATTATATAGCCATGTCATGAATTGCATATTTGAATTGGAAATGGTTACTGGTTCTGTGATTTCTTACCATGAAATTTCTCATGAGCAATCTGTGTTGCTTCTCTCATTTACTTCTTATTTCTTTTTTAATGGCTTCATTTTGATTCTTGATTCTTACCTTGTTGAATCTACACTGCCATTATCCATTTCATTGTTATTGATTAGTACCTTGGTATAAATTAGAATACTCATTTCATCACTCTCTCTCTATACTTCTATGGCCTTCACTTCAAGAGCATATAATCATAATTTTGGGAATGCTTTCTTTCTCTCTCTACTTCTATGGCCTTCACTTCAAGAGCATATAATCATAATTTTGGGAATGCTTTCTCTCTCTCTCTCTCTTAATGTATTTGTCTTGATGGGACATTGGTTATTCAGTTTCCAACTACCCCAACTAGCCATATAAACAGAATTTCATATCATGTTTCCTAATGAAATAACAAGCATGCCCTTTATAATATAATAATTAAACTGAAATTTATTACTTGTGTGTTATGAGTTGAAAAGTGAAAACCAACGGTGTAATTTTCTAAGAAGAGCATACTATTGGCTAAGTATTATGTTTTATTGTTACAATAGAATAGGTGTATGTACCTTGTTTGAACTGTATGAAGTGGGTTGGTTGGCTTCTATTGTCTAGAGTAGAGATTTTCTTTATTGGCCCATCAAAATTAATGGCACTTTTGATCTACCAAACTGTGTTTACAGGCTGGAATTCTCATTTCTTTACGAGCAAAGTAAATTACATGGCTGTCTTAGTTGGTAGAGAACTAGAATATATGCACACTACAGAGAATGAGTGGAGCCAACTGAAACTAGATCTTCTCACTCTGTCTCTAGCCATGGAGGTTTTCATGGCAATATGTTTACTTTCTGTTTTCTATGCTTTCTTCTGCATTTGGAAGCTGATTCTGCGAAGGAGAGATCAGTGCTGCTATCTGTTGGGGTATGAGTGCTATAAAGCTACTGAAGACAGGAAGTTGAGGATGGAGTCCTGTGTAAATATCATCTTGAGGAACAAGAATCTGGGACTTGAAGAATACCGATACCTGCTCAGAAGCATGGTCAACTCGGGATTAGGCAGCGAAACCTATGGCCCAAGAAATGTAATTGCAGGCAGAGAAGAATGCCCTTCTCTGTCAGATGCTATTTCTGAGATGGATGACGTGTTTTCAAGCACACTCGACGAACTGTTTGCCAAGACGGGAGTTTCCCCATCTGACATAGACATACTCATTGTGAATGTGTCTTTGTTCTCCCCAGTACCCTCGTTGACTGCTTGGGTAATAAACCGTTACAAGATGAAGGAAGACATCAAAGCATTCAATCTCTCTGGGATGGGTTGCAGTGCAAGTATTGTTGCTATTGATCTTGTGAAACACTTGTTCAAGACAAACAGGAATGCTTATGCTGTTGTTGTAAGTACAGAATCTATAGGACCAAACTGGTATAGCGGGAAGGAACAGCCGATGATGCTCACGAACTGTTTGTACCGTTCAGGGGGCTGTTCGATGCTCCTGACAAACAATGCAGCTTTGAAGCATTCTGCTCTGCTGAAACTGAAATGCATTCTTCGAACGCATCTAGGATCAAGTAACGAAGCATATGGATGTTCCATACAAGTGGAAGATGACCATGGCCATCGAGGTTTTCGTCTCACCAAACACATAAAAGCTGTTGCAACTCAAGCTCTCACCATCAACCTCCAAAGGCTACTGCCTAGAATCTTACCACTGAGGGAACTACTTCGCTATACCATCCTAACTCATCCGCTCTGCAAAGTCATCAACCCCAACATCGAGGCAAAAAAAGTGCGCTTGAATCTCAAGAGTGGAGTTGACCACTTCGGGATACCGCCGACTGAAAGGGCAGTCATCGATGGGCTCGGTAGGAGCTTGGGTCTGAGTGATTATGACCTAGAGCCTGCTAGAATGGCACTCCATAGATTTGGAAACACATCCACTGGTGGCCTCTGGTATGTTTTGGGCTATATGGAAGCCAAAAAAAGGCTCAAAAAGGGTAACAAGATTATGATGATAAGCTTTGGAGCAGGCTACGAATGCAACAGCTGTGTGTGGGAGGTTATGAGCAACTTGAAAGATGAAAATGTCTGGAAAGACTGCATCCAGAGCTACCCTGCAAAAACCACTGTGAATCCGCTTGCAGAGAAGTGTGGTTGGATCAATGACGAGCGTCTATCATTTGTCAAGTTCGACGACATAAAACGAAATCTACAGCAACAAATTCTTTGAAGAAGAAAAGGTCTGTTTTCCTCTGCACTTCATCTTTCTCCGTTTCTACAAATTTAGTGAGCTGAAGTTTCTGGTTTTAGAGGTTTTATGACTACTATATGTTTTGCTTGTAAAAGATTGGTTGTTTTTGTTGCTGCTTTATTTACTTGAGCGATGAAAAATGCTAGAAATGGCAATCACAAGGTGTTTTCCTGCAGCTTCCAACTTTTCTAACTTCAAAATTTTCTACTGAATTAATGAATTAAGCTTAGTGAACGGTGATCTTCTCCTATCATATTTGGTAAGTCATGTCATTTTGAGAAATCACAAAATACATTATGTTAATAATATGTGCACTTTAAGACTTAATAATCTACTAGCAAAGACTAAATAGTTGTTGAATGTTATATTTGTGAAGAAGTATATATATATATATATATATATATATATATTTTGTAATTATGGTGTTGAATTATGGTGTTATAATTTCTCCTACTATGAGAATGTGCTGTGAGAGTGCATTAAAGTTTGTAGCTGGTGAAATCAGTATTTTATGGCATAAAATTTGTACATAGTTATTGAGAAAAACACTGTTGAGTGAAACATGTGGAGGGAGAGCCATTGCAGTTCATAGACAACTACTTTCTATCTCACAAATATTCATGGACATGAGACCTCAGATTTCTATCGGGGTTCAAGTCGAAACTGTGTCGAATCAAAACTGTTTGGTTAGTTCGTAGAAGAGAAGACGAGAAATCGAAAAATTGACTCACCTCACTGCATTTGGGAAATCGTCAAACCGAGCAGAATTTACTTATTTATTATTTTTTTTTTTGTAATATTTGCAGTTCAGTTTGGGTTCATTTATAAAATCGAATTTAACCGAGATGGGAATACTCCTAATTTCTATTTGGGTTCTACTAAAAAAGGGAATGAAGTGAAGAAGAGAGAGATTTGATGTAAAAATGAAAATACAAACTTTACAAATTTAGGTTTTGAGATTTTGTTTTTAGTTCATTAAAGCTAACAAAACCTGTGGTCAATGAACAATAATAGATGTAATGAATATAAATCTAATGTCGACAATAATCTTATTTTATATTATCCTCTTTGTCTTATATTTTCAAAAGTTTTTTAAAATAATAATATGCGTCTTATCCACCAGATTAAATCGGAGCCATTCAATTTTTCGTAATTTATTAATTAAAATATCATTCTTTTTTTTTCAGTAAATAGAAAAGCATAAGCAAATTGAGAAATACATATTTGACATGAAATTGTGAAAACATTGGAAATTTGGAAATGATGAATAATTATGAGGCAAATAGAAAACACAATGTAGAGTCACTCTCATGTGATAAATACATGGTTGGAGCTTCTTCTTTAACACTTTCACCAACTTTCCATCCCAAAGCATTTATATATTGGTCCTCTTTCTCTTTCTTTTTTGTTGCACACCAATAAATTCCCATTAATAAAACCACCAAAAATCTCTTTGAAAATTAATTATAAAGAAAAGGTTTACGGTCCGTTGGTCGGTGAACTTTTAGATTTATTYTACTTTAGTCTYTRAACTTTTAAAAAATAATTATTTTTGTCTCACCATATAATTGTCTCAATCCTAATTTAGCGTCTTAATGCTCATTGATTTACTTAATTATCATACATGAACATGAAGTTAGGATATTCATTTGTTAAAACAAAATAATTGCTAATCTGAAGATAGTTCAAYAGATTAGAACATACATTTTCGACTAAAATGTTGGAGGTTTGAATTTCTTCCCCTATATATATGTTTGTGTGCATGCTTGTGTATGCACGTAGATAAATGCCAAAATAATAAATGTCACTAAAATAGACATTTTGAAAATACTAAAAAATTTAAGAATTAAATTACACGATGCGATCTTATAATTTTCTAATCCACATTGCTTCTCAATCACGTTCGTTTTCGACATGTTAGTCATGTTTGGTAACACTTTTATTTATTTTTATTTTTAGTTCAAGAATTGCAGGTGGCGATCAAACCATYGACCTTTGCAATGGTGTTAATTAAGGTATCTTCTCTACTTGAGTTATCTTCGAGTTAGATTGTTTTTTTATTTTATTATTAATATAAACATATATTTATTAAAGTAAATCATTTCGGTTTATTGTTATTTCTTTTACTTATACATTTATTATTTTTTGTTTTCTAAAATTTATATATGTATATAAAAAATTCACTTAAAGCTCAATATTATTGTTTTGAAAAATAAATATTTGGAAATTTTACACTATTTATTTGACTTTTTTGGGTACAACATATATCCATAAATAAGATAAATYGATAAGATAGTGATTAACATCAACATTTTGAACAATTAGAGAAACCACAACTATTTAGATTAGAAAGGCTCAAAATTATTTACAATTTTTTTAAATAGAAAAATGTAATACATTAGTAAAATTATATAACTATTTATCATTTTAACTTTATCTTTAGCAACGTTTTTTTGGTGGTCGATAGGTGTCTTAACTAATTGAGTTATACTTAGGTTAACATTATTTTACTATTTCAAAAACTATTTTTATGAATTGATAAAAGAGAATTAACTCACTCAATTAATAAGTCAACCGAATTTCCTTGGGTCGAAGACGAAAATAGGCCGTAGTAATTATTCATTCATTTAAAATTGGGCAAGTGAGGAAAAGAAAGTGTTGCACCAACAAAGAAAATGAACACTTATTGTAGACACTAAAAGGCAAAAGTTTAGAAATAAGTGAGTTCTAAAAGATAATAATGTGGCCCAAACTTAATTTAGAATTTTTTTTTCTTTTTTTTTTGTGTCTTTGTTGTGACCAACTCACTCTCATCTAAAGATTTAATTGTGGCCACACCATAATATATATATATATAAATCAAATGTATGGTGCTACTAGTACGATGGCATCTTCATCTATGGGGAGTGAGTAAGAGTCATGAAACTGTAATATTTATGACATTCTCATTATTGCATTTGTCAAAACTAAAAAGAAAGTATGTACTCAATTTATTTCATGTCACGTGCTAAAAATGCAACAGGTTAATCTAAACATAAGTCAATAGGTAAGGCAACGAGTTAAGGTATTTATGTTCTACTAGAAAGCTTGATCATTTGTTGCTATACTAAAAAATAACAGTAACATACTTGATGGTAAAGTTAATAATTAAAAGGGGAAAATATACTTTTTGATCTTTGAGGTAAGTGTCTATTTGGTCTCTGAAATTTCAAAACGAAGGTTTGATGTAGGTGTCTATTTAGTCCTCAAGTTTCAAAATAGACATTTTTTGTCCTTAGAGTTTGAAAAATAATTGTAAATGGTCCTTTGACCGTTAGTTGACCAAAAGTGTTCGCTTTGAAACTTCAGGGACCAAATACATACCTACCTCAAACCTTAGGTACCAAAAATGTATTTTTCCTAATTAAAAATAATTTTAATCCTCTTTTRGGTTTTAGGTTTACAGTTTATGGGGTGGTTGGATGAAGATTTCTTTCTAAAAAAAATTAAGAACRAAATACACTATACATATATTTAATCTCGAAAGAGACACTTTGGTCCTTAAACTTAAGTTTAGCAAACTAACAAACCACACAATCGTCAATCAAATATTAAAAACATTTTTCAAAATCTCATGGACTGAAAAAATTTACGATTATAAAAAAAAATGTGTTTAGGAGTAATAATAAGATTGATTTAAAAAAAAAAATAATTTAAGTATAATTAATTTTTCAAAATAACCMTCGAATGATATTTAAAAAATCAAATGATATTTAAAAAATTAATTTAAGATGGTTTTAAGCTTTCCTGAAATAAATTTTTTAATTTACCGAACATAATTAATAAAAAAGAGAGGGGTTATGACGCTAACAAAAATGATTTTGACATACCCAAATCACACTCAAACACACCATAAAAATCTCCTTCGAAACTCGAGGCAGGGATCAAAGCAGTAATTTGTTCAAAATTTAATAACAAAAAGCTATTCATCCTCTTKAATAGACTTCCTGAAGTAAAATTGGATTTCATTTCACATTTCACTCCTTCAACTGAAACAAAAACTAAACCATCAACTAACCAAACTCAGCATCTTTCTTCTTCATCCTTCCTTTCTCCTTTCTTCTTTCAAGAACCACAACACCATGGCCAAATAAACTCCCCTAGATATGCAAAACATTATTCAATTCTTCGACACAAACCGCATCCGCACCGGATGAACTCACCTCTGCTTCCACCCTTACCCACCCATGCCTGGATGAACTCATCCCAAATCTGCCTCACCACCATTCAGGTTGGAGAAAGGACAAAAATAAGCTAATTTTGCTCGGTAGATTCTAGTTTTTWTGTTTCAAGTGCAAAGAGGAAATGAAACCTTGATTTAGTTCTAGACTTTTCGAATCTATCAAAGAGAAGAACATTCTGACACAAATGAACACAGAGAGAGCGAGGCAGCAAGGGGTGATCTAAAATCAGACCACATTCATATTGGCAAAAGATTKCGTTGCTTAAAGAGTCATTAACCAAAACCATTTCATTATAACTCAGGACACTAAAGTATTACATGAAAAAGAAAGCACTTGAAAGTTCATAGATCTAAGAATAAGATTCAAAATGGGTACTCAAGTCCAAATAACGTTATAGATATAAATCAAAAGCCAACATGAGTAAAAGATGCATGATACCAACGATGATCGATCAATTCACCCTATGCCTACACCTTAATGGCATACTTCCTCAATGGGTAGTACATCTCTTTCTTCTTCTGTCGCTCGGTCTTTAGAGATGCCTGTAAAACACAATAMAATAACATGGAATTAGAAAGATGAAGAAAGACAGTCAACACTTTACTCATTATTTTAAGGCTGGATAGCAATAGCTTTAACATGACATACAAGACAAGAAAATTAGTATTCTAAACATCAAATGTTCAATGCCCAAAAAGTTGAGTGATAAAGAACCTCGAAATTGTATACATTCAGCATTCTACATAAAGCATAAAACTGAGGGTTGTCTCAATAATAAAAACGAAGACRTTGAAAATAGTTACAGGCTCTGAATACTTGAGCATTATTCAGGTTAATAAAGGATCCTTCCGGCACCATTGTGTTCAATATCTCTGAGAAACAAACTCTTTTTAAAATTGCTAGACTAAGGGTGAATTCAGAATCATTCTAAAAAAGTTGTTTGATAAACTAATTCAATGTTTCATCTAGAAGTATATTTACTTGTTTTTAAAATTCCTGTAACTAGTACAGCAAA